TGACCGCAGACACAATCAGGAAGGTGTGGGTCGTGTGCCTCCTAATTGGTTTGGAATCCGGATTTTTGACCAACATCCCCGGGGATTCACCAATCCATTTATATTCCCGAATGTTGAATTTTCATCTCACTTTGGTGGGAAAATACTGTTGCCACAGGAAAACAGTGAATGAGGCTTCTTCAGCGAAGGCTATTTGACATGCATGGTTGTATAGAAACATTTCGTGAGTTGCAACAGGCGAGTGATCGGTCACAATATGAGACGCCCACCCCCACCACCACCACCACCACACTAAGGCTTTAGCAGACAGCATTACTAAACACTGACCAGTCATCATGTAAGGCACACTTCCAGAGGATTTAATAAATAAATGGTTTGATTTGGACTTTGCATGGCGAATCAAATGGTGCGTAGTGATCATGATGATTTTGATGGTAATAGTTTCCTTCTAGTTCCACAGAACACCAAGAAAGTAAATCGTAACTTGCTTGCGAAACTGTGTGTTAGTTTCGCTAGGCGCAGCAAACCTAAAGCGAAAAACGAACCACGGAAAGCTTCTATCTGATACTGGGTAACCACCCTGTTTGAACACACGCACTGATTTCCACCCATCATTGACTGCATCTTCCATGTTGAACTTTGTTGAGGGTTCTGTATTGCTTTGTTACACCAGCTACTACTGATTTACGCTAATGAGCACTGTTAACCGTCCATTGGATTAGGGCGAGCATCATTAGACTAGCGTTATGCAGGACCTTTGTGTTTATTGGTAACTCTGAATGAAAAGTAAAACAGTTGTGAGGAAATACAATTGCTTTTAAACCGCAATGACTGCGGGTGCCATTCATTGAATCACCATTACTTGAATATTTGGCTGACTCTATTCCAGGACCACTTCCCTGTGGGGCTATCTCGAAAATACTGATCAATCCCGGCGAACGGTGAGTTGTGAATTCGCAAACGTTTTCTGTTATGGGGCGTCAGTGTATTGAAACAACGTGATTGTTTTCTTGGGGTAATGGATTTTCCCTTAACGTGCTTTGTAATTCGTGCTTAATCATATTGGCAAATAAAACTGACAGTCAGCGAGCCACTGTGGGTATCATCTTTACCTTTACACCAACTCCTGCGTGAGTCGGCTTCGTTGATATCTCCGAAGTTAGCAGCCCACGCACGGCGTTCAGTCTCAAGGTCGACACAATTTACCAATGTAGTTGTGGGTGTGGGTTGACCAACAAAAATGGTTACCTCTTGTTACACCAAAATATTTGACAGCCTTCACCCTAGATAAACGATTGTCCTTTATCACTGTGGGGTCTGTCGGATGTGAAGAACCTGAAAGACTAAATTATCATTCAACACAGTTATTGAGGTTTAAGCTTCGTCCCGATTTGACCAGTATTGTCGATGAGGCAGCTTTGATCAGAAGAAGAAAAAAATGTTTTGGCACAGTGCAACGTCATGTGCATATTCAAAAACACTTGAAAGAGAAACACCAAAAAGCTCACAAATATACGTAGAAAATAAGTATGGGAATAACATAGCTCGTTGAAGAACTCCTTAGTTTTTGACTAATGGCTTGGATAAAGCCTTTCCAGGTTTATTGTTTTGTTCTCGATCAGTGAAATAGTTGTGGATTGCCAGGCTAGCAATTGCTCGGGACATTCAAAGGACTCCAGTTTCTATAACAGCTTTGATCTAGGAATGGAATCGAACCCTGAAGAATCGTCAAGGAAAAAGCACACCGAACAGACTTAACAGAGTTGCTCTAAGACTTGGCGATAAAATGGATAGCCTTTTCAGTCAAGTTTAGGACAGAAACGCTATCGAACGAAAACGTTTGGAGAGGATTGCATATTTGGATGCTTTGGAAATTGGCGTGATTGTAACCGGTCTCCGACAGTATATTAGACGTGTAAGATAATTCATTTACGGGGAGTGTGATTGCCCCAACCAGGCAAGCAGTACCAAATTTGGAAAGTGTTTCAGGTAAACCATCCGGGTTTGCAGCAGAGTACAAATTACAACAAATTAGAAGCTACAACACATCGCAATTTGAGAGTGGTTTCGGATTACAAACATTATGCGATGAGTATACTGGAAGAGTGACCGTTTCGTTTATAGCTCGGCCCTTCGAAATTGTGACTTTATTCATGACGTGGGAACCCTGAGGTAGCTTCTGATTGAATTTATTCCTTCGGACTTCGTCTTCACGCACAATCCTCAGTTCGTCGATTCAACCATACACTCGCAAGCACTAGACTTGAGGTCCGCTCTTATTTGAGCTAGTTGGCACAGTGGTGATGCACACACCTTCCATGCGGTGGGCCCGAACGAGACGGTGGATATGCACTACTGATGAGCTATAATAAGAGCGAAACTCGAGTAGTCTAGTGCTTCCGAGTTTATGGTTCAATCGATGAACTGAGAAAGGTGCAGGTGAAGTCCGAAGGATAGTCCATTCAAATCAATCAACATCAGTTATCCCACACCACTACTCAAGTAACTGTGGGTAAAATGTGAATTTACTCCACCCAGTCTGTAAATCAATAAATATTTCCGTTCACTTTTTCTTCATTGGCTATTTTATGCTTTGACACTTCCTAAGTTTCACTTCACAAATTCCTTATGTTCGATACCTTCCAGTGGCGGTGTGCTGACTGCGTTTTCTGGTGGACTTCCTCGACCCGAATTCCAGGATCGACATGCAGTAACAGTAATGCAAGGTCAAGAGCATCACGTGTGCTTCCATTTCGGCTCTGAAATTAAGGATTTCTTATTTATCCCCAAAAAGGGGGCTTTAGGTGAGCTGTCTGGTTTTTTCCTCATCGTTTTCCCCTTATTGACGAATTCCATTTAGTCCAACTTGAACCGTCAGTTAAATCGATTTCGAATCTCGTTGAACGTTTCTAGTTGACATAACACGATTACAATGTTCATAGGAATATTTAGATGGTGAATGTTTGGATTAGCCCATTCGGTTTTTCACAAGCACCGGGCACTGTTGATGATATTGTTTGTGAGTTTCACTCCTTGGGAGATCGTTAATTCCACACTGTTTGTATGTATTTAAAATCCGTAAGAATAATTCTAATTCATCACTCCCACTGTGTCATAGAAACTTAACGGAGACGGTTAGTGTCTAGGGCTTTTTATTGATCGAACAGTCGATTCCACACTTTCACTGAAAAACCAACGGCATACCATGCTACCTTTTGAAGTGAAAATAATGTTTATTTACTGCTTGATAAGCTGTTTAACGTGGATACGAATGCATTTGACCCCATCTTTTGTTCAAGAAAAAAATTTAAAATCCAAGCTGTTTGCCTGAAAAGGTATATTTGCAAGTAATATTTTACCACTGGTTGGCCGTTGCAGATGCCATGTTTGCAACCGAATCGGATGGCAACCGAAATCCTTCGTACGCAGTCGCCGCATTGATTGTTCTTACGGAACGCGAACTTCTGGCATTCGATTTGATGCAACCGGATTGGCCGGCAGTTCATTTGCCCTACTTAAGCTGTTTGAACATCTCGCCGGTCACAGCCATTGCACATTTGTCTCAGGTAAGGATTTTTTGGTTATGGCTGGTCCTCTGGCGTGTTTCGCTGCACTGTCTTCTGGAGACGTTATCTTCAGCGAATAAGACCTCCTGAACAAATGACTCACACCCATACCACGTTTAATCATACTTTTTTAATCTAACATTGAACCAAAGACCATCTTTAACTCATTTACCAAAACCACATTCAAGAAGCAGTGCTTATTTACGAAGTCTTAGCGTCATCAAAAGGTTGTATTATTATGGGCGTATCATGCGTATCACTGCTGACCCACCAGTCCTAACCATTACTGGTGTAAGTACGTCGGAGTTGCAAGTTAACTACTATTTTCAATTGCATTGGATGAATTATATGTCAGCAACAAATTAGAGCAGACACCCAGCCTTCGGAATTCATCACCTGAATCTAGGCTATTTCAACACGTATAATTGAATTCTATGATAACCTCGGATAGTAACGTCCTGCATTTTCCTTTACCCCCAGTTACATGCCCGTCCTGACGACTGAGGGCCTTGTAACACGTGATATGCCATCCACAGCCTGAAAACCAAAGTTCTTTGTTGCCACAGGTTTATTTATCAGGTC